TCAACAAATGACCATATGACCAGTTTGAAGAGTGTGAGAGAGATTGGGTATCTCCTAGAGAATGGGAAAGCTAACTGGTTTTAGAAATTATTCTCTTCAATTCCCTCAAGTCCCCTGAAGCATACCTCCAGCCAATGTTTCTGCCAACTACTGTTAAAATAAGTGTTGTATAATTGCTCCAGGCTATAGTGATGTTATGACATCTGAAATATTGTCAAAGAACTTTCACCAATTCCTAACTGCCTTCTGACCTTTACCCTCTCTTTCCTCAGCCATGTACTTGAGAACCAACATCCAACCTGATGCTCTTTTAGCTACTTTGTAACACATGTAATACGTATCTTACACATCTCTGGCCAGGCCTCATAACTTAAAAAAAAAATCCACAGAGTACAATATAAGTGGAGGAAAGGTGGCTCACAGTGAAGTGAGCAACATGGTGGCCCATTGCAGAACATCCTCAACTCATGTTAACACGGTAGAGACCTTTTACAGTGTGGCTCACCAAAGCTCACTGCTCCAACCAACTGGCTGAGAGCACAAATAAGTAAAATATATATTAAGGGCATAATGTAATGTGTTGAGATACATATACATAAAAATATTGCAGACACAAAAAGCTTTCCACTAATCAATTCTGTATGGAGAGTCATTCTAGGGATATATGTATTTTAGGTGAAGGAATTGCATTAAGAAAAACCAGAGGTTAGACATCCCATGCACTACCCATTATGCCACAGAGCTGGTGCAATCCCACTTCTGGGTATATATTCAAAAGAAAGGAAATCAGTATCTCAAAGAGATTTGCAGATTCCCACATTAATTGTAGCTTTATATACACAATAGACAAGATATGGAAACAACCTAAGTGTCTACTGATGAAAGAATGGATAAATGTGTATGTGTGAGAGAGACACAGAGAGACAGAGACAGAGGAAGACAGACAGAGACAGAGAGAACATGCATGCTTGTATTTATTTCCCTTTCCTGAGATTTCAGTCTGTATGGTTCCCTGTAGCCTCAGGCCTTACTGGCTTGAAGAAAATTTATGATTTTGCACTCGACACTCTTTCCAGTGTTCTATATCTTAGGTAGACATGAAACTCTATTGTTCTTTCAACAAATCTTTCTGGAGAACCCATGGTGTTTCAATAGCAACTTCATGCACTGGAGCAACAGGTTGAAAGCTTAGTCTCTGACTTCCAGAAGCTCACAGTCTTTTGAAATAAACATGTCTCACATTTTAATTCAACTTAGTAAATAGTCTTAAGGGAATATACGCAAAGAACTATGACAGGATGGAACACAAAATGAATAATTCTACGCGGCAAGCTTAAACTGGGTGATAGAAACAGTTACGCCTGAGTTGGATTTTTAAAGAAAAATTCTTAGCTCTGCTGTGGAGTATTTAGAAGGAAATTTCATGCAGAAGAAACAGCATTTGAGAAGGCACAGTGCTATGAAAAGTCTGTTGTGTCCAAGGAGTATTTAGCAATTTAATGTGTCAGAAGCACAGGGAGCATGTGGCATGTGTTAAGTAGACATCGCATATGTAGTAGATTTTAAAGGGAAGCCAGGTGGCTTATTTTGTTGTTATTGGTTTTGATGTAGCGCATATGGGACACACAGGTACTCAGGTACTGCTGGGTAGATTCAAGTATTTATGCTTAAACCGAGGGTCTCATTTTTCCTTCAGTGATCAGTCATCATGCCCACTTTATCTTTCTTTCATTCACTGGAACTTTTCAATTCCTATCTCTTCTTTAATTTAAAAATTTAAAATTCAGTTTATATCACATGAAAATCTGTGTTCAGAGCTTCCTGCGAATGACTGAAGGAGTTACCATTTCTGGCTGAGATTCTTATATGGGAGTGATAGGCTAGGACTGAAGAGCTCTTTCTTCCTGTATAAAGGTCATGTGTTCTTCTTAGTCCCCACCTGACGCGCTTCCCAGAGTCCTCAGATGGCCCGCTTCACAGCATTACTTTATGCACCTGGTCCCTGTAGGATTTTGAGCATCCTTGCTCTGTTATCTTCAGGCACAGCTTTCATTTATGTCTTCTCCCATCTCCCAGGCCTTATTATACCCCAGGCGCAGTACCTGCCAGGATTGTCTTCTTGAAATCCTTAACATCAGTGACAGCCCCTGAGTTAAGTTTACCAGACACATTCACATTCATGGTTTTGACACTAATCTACTTAGGTGTGCATGGCAAATATCTGGTAAATACTAAAATTCATCTTAAAAACTCACATCTTTTGTCACTTAGTGTCAGACTTTTTCTCTAAGACACTGGGCTTCGCATTTCCAGCTGTTCTTTGTATAATTCCAGCCACCACTGAGCAATGCACTCATTTCAATAGCCTCTCACCTCACTGCCTTTCTCCAGGTTTCCACACACTTTTGGTTTCCTTATTCTGTCTTTTTCACTAACTTGAATTAGTCTGGAATGAAGTAAATGCAAGTTGTTTTAGTGGTTTAAACAGGTATGCTCCCATCTCCCTCCAAAATCAACAAAAAGTACTGAGTCTATAAATTTAAAAGTAGAATTTAGACCAGTAATTATAGTTATGGAGTTAAAGACTTTTCAATGTTTTTTTTTTTTCTTTTCCTAGGCTTATCATCTCGGAGTAGAAATCTGAATTCCTGATCCTCTTTTTCCAGTAATTTCATGTGAGAAGTACAAATCTGTTTACCCAACGTGCCTAATGAGCATTACTAGAATAAATAAGGGGAGTCAATAGACATACTCTTTGAGTCTGTCTTTCGAAACATAGTAACATCACATGACACATATTCCCAGAGGAATCAGTTGCCTTTTTAAGCAAAAGATGGGTTTTTAAGACAAATGTTTTTTTATTCCCTCCACACCACCCAGAGAAAAATGTAAGAATTCAGACAAGATCAACTCAAAAATGCATAATGTAGGGATTTACCATTTGGGTGGCGTAGAAACAACTCACCTTTTAAAACATCATTATTTATGAATTTGACTTTAGCTGCTCTGTGTACATCTTTTCTTTTCTGGCCAAGTATTTGTGACATGAAAAATGGAATGGCATTTATCTCTCGTTTGATACTTTTAGAAGTATATTAAGTAGAAAGAAGCTGACTTCATTAAGTGAAAGGACATCACACCTAAGAATTCAGTGAGCAGGTCACAATTACCCTCCTTGTTTTACCTGCTCTTCTACTCCACTCTGAAGCTTTTCTGTTGGAGATTATGGCAGTTGCAAAATAAAATATTAGTTAATCCTCCTCTTTCATCATTAAGAAAAATAAGCAAGTATGGTACCCAAAACAATGGTTTACATCAAATAAAATCATTCGGGGCTTTGTGTATGTGTGTGAGATATGTGTGTGTGTGTGTGTGTGTGTGTGTGTGTGTATATTTATATATATATTTATATTTATATTTATATATATGAAGAGAGAGTGAGAAATTGCCTACAAGGAATTGGCTCCTGTGATTATGAAGGTGGGCAAATTCTAAAATCTGCAGGGTGAGTCAGCAGCCTGGAGACCAGAAAGACCATTAGTTTAGTTCTAGTCTGAGTTCAAAGGCCTGAGAACCAGGAGAGCTGATGGCATAGTTTCTACCCAAAGACTGGCAAACTCAAGACCCAGGAAATGCCAGCATTTCAGTTCGAGTCCGAAGGCAGGAAAAAAAAAGCAGATGCCCCAGTCTGAAGGCACTCAGGCATGAAAGGATTCTCTCTCGCTGGGGGATGTGTCAACATTTTGGTTCTAGCCAGGCCTTCAACTGATTAGGTGAGACTCACCCACATTAGGGAAGAGGATCTGCTTTACTCAGTCTGCTAATTTAAATATTCCTTTCATCCGAAACACCCCACAGAAACACCTGGAATAATATTTCACTAAATGTCAGGGCACCCCATGGTCCAGTCAAGCTGACACAGAATATTAACCATCACACAGGGGAATCCGTTAAGGAAGGATATACTCCTCATAGCTCACTCAGAAGTTTTTTAAGCCTTCAGTTCCCAGCAGCTGTTAGACTGAGGGCCTCTATGTTTTACTGGTTGTTAGCTGGTGGCTACCCTCAGTTCTTGCTGCATGGGCCTCTTCAACATAACAGCTGGTTTCAGCAAAGGCAACAAGAGAAAGATAATCTGCTAGCAAAATGGAGGTAACTGTCTTTTGTAACTAGATCACAGAATTAATAGCCTAACACCTTTGCCATATTCTGTTGGTTAGAAGCATGTCACTGGGTTCAGCCCATACTGAAGTCGAGGAAATTACATAGAGTCGTGAACACCAGGATGTGGACATCATTGGGGGCCACTGTAGAAGCCTACCTTTCACACAATTGAAATGCATGTTGAACGTTTGAGTAAGGAAGAAATACAAACATTAGAACCGGGAAAAGGGGACTTGTCTCAAAGTTACAAAATCTGGATTTGAGGGACATTTTAAAAAATCTTACTAGCTCCACGAGCTTGTGCAAATTAATTACTATCATTTAGCCTGTTTCTTCATATTAAAATGGGTATATGTTTCTATGTTGTATTCCCTTTTTCTTCTGGTAAGAGAACTTGGTTTTCTTTTTCCCTCCCATCTCAGGTCAAGTGATTAAGGTAGAGCTGATATAATTTCCCCATTCCTATAGGGATGGGCATAGGAGTCAGGTCTGACCATGCAAAGCCATACTGACTAGTTCAGAATGGAACGCAAGATCCATTCTGTGTTCATGAGAAGCAGGTATAGGACGTTTTCTGAAAGTGTTGGGCAAGTGAAAGCCTTTTCTTCTTTTTAAAAATTTTATTTATTTATTTTAAATTCTTTATTTGGTTGCATCAGGTCTTAGTTGTGGCTCATGGGCTCCTTAGTTGTGGCAGGTGGGCTCCTTAGTTGTGGCATGTGGGCCCTTAGTTGTGGCATGTGAACTCTTAGTTGCAGCATGCATGTGGGATCCAGTTCCCTGACCAGGGATCGAACCCGGGCTCCCTACATTGGGAGTGCAGAGTCTTATCCACTGTGCCACCAGGGTAGTCTTTTCTCAGTGAGGTTAAAGCTGAGAGAATGTGAGCCTGAAGTTGCCTGTGGCCATGTGGTTACTGAGTAGGAAAAGTCTGAAAGAGAATAAAGCAAACACAAAAATTCATTTCTGAGATGTAGAGAAAGAGGTGGATTCCTAAAGATACTGACATGGATCCAGCCTTGCCTGAAACTAGACAACCCTAACTCTTATATGAGTTAATACATTTCTGCGTAAGTCTATTTGAGTTGTGTTTCCGGCCATTGCCTGATCTATCCAGTGCGTAGAACACAGCTGGCTCTCAACAAATGTACGCTGACTAATGTATAAAAGAGCAATTTTTGGAAGTTTAGCATTGAAATCCAAGGGGCAGGAAGTTGAAATATATTCCCCCCCCACTGAGTCTTCCTGAGCCCTAAAATTCTGTGATTGGCTGCTTCCCGGAACACTTCTTTGAGACTCTTCTCTTTTGAACTCATGTCCAGAATATTTAGGAATGGCTTAGGCTGCTCTTTTCTGTTGATTCATCCCTATCCCCAGGCTCACTGCTGAGTAGGTGGGCCAAACTCATAAAACTCTCTCAGCAGCCTTGGGCACGGGAAACTGGCCCGTAGAATTTCCAAAAGGAAAAAAAAAAAAGAAAGAAAATCACCCAGCATATAAGACCCAGAACAGGAAGCAAAACTAATGAAAGAATGTCCTGGGCTTTCACAGGAAATTATTCTCACTCCACCTCTATAAAAAGTAACAGATTTGACCCCTGATTTCTCCCCACCTCCTTCTCTCCCTAACTTTCCAATAGAGGCCGCGAGAGTGCAGGAGCCAGACTGAGGCAATGAAAGACAGACCACTTTTCTCGAAAACGATCATCAGAAACCATTTTGTCAGAGCCAGAGGCTGCCATAGCCAGAGTAGTTAAGGCTAGTGAGTTGCTGAATTGGACAATTTTGAGTGAAGAAATTCATAGCAGTTACTGGTGATCACAGAAGCATAGTATCTCTTTCAGATAAGAAACTAGAGAACTGAACAGAAAAAAATATATATGTTCAGGCTGCTTTTCTCTCTGTGTTTCTTACTACTCATCAAGGGAAGTTCAAGACATTTTACCTTGATATGACGGTTGAAAGGGAAAGGCCGGAAGCAGTCAATGATCCTAGACCAACAAGGCCCCAGGCTGAATCCTCCGAAGAACTGGTTCATTCTGCATTTTTGTCTGCAGCCTAGGAAGCTAGAATTTGGCCAACCAGTCCAGAAAACAGGCTGCTATCCACCCCGGGTGGGTGGGTGGGTGGGGCATTGTGAAAGAATAGCCTGTATCCATCACTGCTATGCAAAGAAAGAACAGGTTCACATGCAAGATCCAGCCAACCAAGGATCAAAGCATCAGACCCAATAGCGGGCCCAAGTGATCAGGGTAGGACCTGGGGTCAGTGCACAGCACAGGCACTGAAGTGAGTAACCACTCAGCCCAAACCTCAGGGAATTTCTCAAGTCTCGTCCATTGTGACTCTGAGACCCTTGAGGCCTGGGGCCACTTTTCTCTTATTTTCACTCTCTCTCCAGCGTTTACTATGTGGCTTGGCAGGCATATTTGTTGGTTGAATGAATGAATGTTTCTGACATAAAAGAGAAAATATTTAAGACTCCATGATCAAAATGGAGCTAGAAAATATTTTTAGAGCACTTCAATGTAGAAATGATTCCTTGTCTCGCCACGCTATTGGGTAGTTTTGGGTTTACAAAGTGATTTAGCTTTTAGTACATGATTTGATCATCATAATCCAGGATGTCAGACAGGCCAGATATATTATTTCATTTATTCACTCAATCAGCATGTGTTAAATTATTGTTACTGTGGTCCGTCTGTTAGTAATTTGGCAGATAGGAGTACGTAAGATGTGATCTACTCTTGTGCCCTCAAGTTCACGGTAGAGTGGAGGGTGTATATATACACACACACTGATACAGATAATGACACCAAAATATACATTTAGACAAATAATTACAATAATATATGGCAAGTGTTAATGGAGGAACCAAGAATGCACATGAGATGTTGAGTAATTTGCCTATGGCAGCCAGAAAAGCTTCACAAAAGTGATGACATGTTAAATGAAGAAAAAGAATTTGGCAAATATCCAAAGATACGGGAAGACTTTCCAGAGAAAAAAGTAGGGCAAACACAGAACATCATTTGATACAGTAGAACAGAAAATACTTGCTGGTCAGTGGCAGAATATGAGACTAGAAAGAAAGTTGAGGGTTTCCCTGGTGAACCAGCGGTTACGAGTCCGCCTGCCAATGCAGGGGACACGGGTTTGAGCCCTGGTCCGGGAAGATCTCACATGCTGTGGAGCAACTAAACCCGTGCGCCACAACTACTGAGCTTGTGCTCTAGAGCCCATGAGCCACAACTACTGAGCCCGCGTGCTACAACTACTGAAGCCCGCGCACCTAGAGCCCGTGCTCCGCAACAAGAGAAGCCACCGCAATGAGAAGCCCACACACTGCAAGGAAGAGTAGCCCCTGCTTGCCATAACTAGAGAAAAGCCCGTGTGCAGCAGCAAAGACCCAACGCAGCCAAAAGTAAATAATAAGTAAATAAATTTATAAAAAAGGAAAAAAGAAAGTTGAGGCCCAGTCATCAAGGGTTGGGAAACATCAAGCTTGAATCTTGCCTTCCAGGCCATTGGAGCCATTTAGAAATGTTAATGGGGGTGTGTGTATAAAACGTTCAGACATGCATTTTATTACCCAGATTTCCAGAAGAGGAATCTGAGCAACAAAGGTTAGGTGACTTTTCCTGGGTTATAGGGAGAATAATAGGAAGGCCAAGTCTTTGCTGGATTGTAAATGGAATGCCAAATGTCTACTTCCTGTTCAATGCTTAATCATGAGAGACAGTATTTGTCATGTGGAAAAAGAGTTGATTATAATCAGACTGGAAAGTCATGTACCTGAAAATCTTTAGAAGGGAAGATATAGGGGAAGGAACAAGATAGAAGAGTAGGTATGAAACAGTTGTTATCAGCCTGAATCTGTTTTACATTTCATTCCAGACCCTGCAAATTAGCACCAACACAATGAATCTTTGTAAATTAATGAAGGTAACAGCGGGAAAGAATCAATCAGCCACTCTTGTTCCAAAACCCTCCTAGGTAATAACCTGAAATGAACCTGGGAGTCATGACCCCGCACTTATAGCCTGCTTCATACTCTTTGAACAAAAACAATTAAATAATCACATTCCTCATGGCCCAACTTCCTGAATGTATTAATTAGATTAAAACACAACTCGTCAGGATCCCTTGAGAGGAAGGGGTTTGCTGAGTGCACTTTCTCCTGCCCTCCAGCTTCCAAGGGCACATCCTGCTTTCATAGGGAGGGAGCCTGTACCTGCCCAAGCAAGCCTCTTTGCCACACACCTGATCATACTCCTTCTGGACCTGGCTCCCTTACACCTTCTCTCACCTGGACTCCTCCTCTGATGGCATTCTTCCTCCTCTACAGGACAAACATCTCCATTTCAGTTCTAATTGGGTTACACATCCTCTCTTAAAATATAGAGACCAGTTGATAACTCTTCTTGGCTCGATTTCAACATTCATTCCATCCATCCATCCATCCATCCATCCCTCCCTCCCTCCAATCTCTGAGAGATGGGCTCAAATCCTGGTACTCTTATTTCCTATCTCTGTGATCCTAAACAAGTTATTTAATCTCTCTCTGTGGCTCAGTTCCATCATCTGTAAAACGGAAATGATAATAGGTCATACCTTGGGTGGCTTATATGAGGATGAAATGAGTTAGTTGCTGTGAAGCAATTCGAATAGGGCCTGGCTCATTTAATGAGCAACTTCTCCTTAGTAGGATTTTGGGGATTCAATTATGAAAATGGCGCTGTTCCTGCCACAAAGTACTAAAACACAAAACAGATGCAACCATACATCAGGTTCAATGCAGTGACAGAGAGGTACATGTGGCATCCTGAGAGCACAGTGGCTGGGATGGCTGCAGCTAGGCCAGGGTACTCCCTGCCAGGGCTTCAGCGTGTGCTGCCACTGGTCTTGCGATGCTCTTGGGAGAAACCTTAAAAACTTTATTCCCTCACTTCAGTCAGGTCTCTGCCAAGTAAAAAGCCTTTTCGGACGCTCTGACCTAAACTGTCGGCACCCACTGCACTGCGTCATTCTCTGTCCCTTTCCTTGTAGTATTTTTCCTCATGGCATTTATTACTAGCTGGCATTATGTTATGCATGTACCTGTTTATTTGTTTATATCAGTTGTTCTCAAAGTGTGGTCCATGGAACCAGGAAACTTACTAGAAATGCAAATTCTTGGGCCCCATCCCAGTCCTAGGAAATCAGAATCTCTGGATGTGGCATTTAGCAAGCTGTGTTTTAACCATCGCCTGTAGGTGATTTGGATTCTTCCTAAAGTTTGAGAACCGCTGGTTTATAGTTTGCCTCCACGGGAGAATGACAGCTCCTTGAAGTGCAGACTTTTCTGTTTACTGGTGTATCCCTGGCGCTTAGATCCGCATCTAACACAGAATAGGTGTTTAATCAGTATTTGTTGAATGAACAAATGGGTGACTACATCTCACTTGGGGGCAGAGCCAAAATCATTTCTCTATTGCCCAGCTCTATTTTCTTTCACAACCTGGCTGCAAGATATAATTTCAATTTTAAAAAGACCAGTGTGCTAAAAAAAAAAAAAAAATTACCAGTATGCTAATATAAAAAGTTAAATCATTTATATTCAAGGTAAAAGACAGTGGATTTTTTGGACCTGTATGTTGATATACATGTATCTTTTTGCTGGAGAAGATACTTAGAAAATGCTTAGTATTTATATAGATAGAGAAAGATATACATGAAAACAACTGTCAGAAGCTCATTAAAGCACCATCTTTTGAGCTTAAGTTTATGCTGAAGCTGGTTTCATAATACTCGGGAGACATAGGGATAAAGAGTTTGATAGAAATCCAGTTTGCAGCAGAGTTTTGCAAAAGAAAGAATCCTCGGACTTCCCTGGTGGCTCAGTGGTTGAGAATCCACCTGCCAATGCAGGGGACATGGGTTCAAGCCCTGGTCCAGGAAGATCCCACCTGCCGAGGAACAACTAAGCCCGTGCACCACAGCTACTGAAGCCCACGCGCCTAGAGCCTGTGCTGTGCAACAAGAGAAGCCACCGCAATGAGAAGAATGTGCACCACAACGAAGAGTAGCTCCCACTCACCACAACTAGAGAAAGCCCGCGCGCAGCAACGAAGACCCAGCGCAGCCAAAACTAAATAAATAAAATTAAAAAAAAAAAAAAGAATCTTCAACCTGACGAGAATATGTCTGTATCCACTACAAACAGCACAAGTATATCAATGGGAAAGGAGGCGGGAGGAAGGCAGGCATTGAAGATGCAGGCAGAGGGAATAGAGATGGATGCTGGTGCTAAAGATCTATGGCCTTATTTTTCTCAAGAAAGCAGGTATGCTCTCTCACCTGCTAACACCATAGCAACAAGCCCACGTCATTGACTGCCCTTGCAGTCCTGAGGTGCGTCCTTGGCGAGTTAAGAAGCCAAAGGAAAGAGAAAAAGAAAGCTTCCCCTGGAGAGAAGGTTGAAGATGGATGGTTAAAGCACTCCATGTGGTGACCCGGTGCTCAGACAGCAAGTCATTCAAGTCCATTCCTGAAGAAGGAAGTGGGCAAACCCAGTCTGTGGTTAAATGTTAACGTGTGTGGGGTGGAAAGTCAGGGTGGGGCGAGGCTGCAAGTCACTTTAAAGACCAGCACCTTAGCAAATACCAAAAGCATCACAAAATGCAAAGCAGCTTGTTCTAAACATGAGGTGTTTCCCTTCCTCCCAACATTTGATGTGTTTGATCTGAGCTCAGTTGCACAAACAGCAAGAGCAAGAAAAGGGTTGCTCTCTCAGGCCTTACTGTTAGCACCTTTAAATTGGGTTTAAACTTCCTTTTTTAAGTTACTTATTCTCTCATAATTTTGTAGATGCCATAGGCTCCTAACTTATAGTACTTTAAGTAATGGTGTATGAAAACTTCTTGGTGTTGGGCACTCTTTTTAGCAAGTATAGGCCAGGTTCTGCTGAATTAAGGTATCTACCTGATTAGAATGACTTATCTAAAGTTTACTCATTGTTCAAGCTACATGTTCAGTGAAGTCCAGGGAAGGGAATGCCTCAAGCATCCTTTCTAGGTTGGGTTGGCATATCTTTCTAACTGGGCCCACTATTATAACCTATACAGTCAACATCCCTTAAAATACCTGCCTAGCAACCTCTCACTACCTTTAAAAGATGACTTTGATCTGGAGCTACAGATTTGGCAGTTCTCATTTGTAAGAGAGAAGGCATTCTACATGAGAAGAACAGTATAATGAAAGCAAAGAGGCTGGCTTTGAGTAGATTTTATATTTAAGATAGGCAAATACTTCTCCTTAAAACAGCGATCTCAAGGCATTTTTGTAGACACATGGGTCGATGGCCAGTAAGACACTGTGGTTCCTGATACCCTCCATCCCTTTTCTCTAAAGCATGACGTTCACATAGCAACCACGCCAGGACAACAGCTCTTTCCTTTTGCCTTTTGAAGGTTGGAGGTGCTTGGGAAGGTGGAGAGGAGGGAAGTGAAATGGAAGCAGCGTGCATGTAGCTACTGAGTGCCAGGCCCTTGGCCATCTGCCTTTCAGGCCATATTCATGCCATTCATTCCTGAAATGTAAGAAGTTTTATTTCTACTTTACAGAATACACAAAGTTCAGTTCATTTTAGTAAAATAAACAAAACCAAACAGAAGATTGATTCTAAGACTCAGGTTTGTTCAGTTTTCAAGATAATGCCAATTCCATCACACTCCTGTTGCTCTAAGTGTGGTCCTCAGGACCCCTGGCCTGGGTACCATCTGGGAGCCAGTTAGAAATACAGAATGTCAAGGCCTTCCCCAGGCCTACTGAGTCAAATCCACATTTTAACAAACTCCTCAGGTGATTCATAAAGATTTTAAAGTTTGAGAAGCCTATAATGTTTTATCTCCTCAAAGACTAGAGGACTGGTCATTGAACAGACCACGAGGACTGTTTGTTTCTGTTAATGTCACTCTGAGGAATGTCAGTTTTCCAAGGTGAGCTAAAAAAAAGTACTTAAGTCAAATGCTTTTTTGCTTTTCATTCATATTCCAGAGCTGTTTAAAGTGGGGTCTGCTGAAAACATGTTTCTTAAACATTTAACTCCCAAATTACCAAAATACTAGTAAATGCCATAGAGGTCTTTAAAGTCCCATTCGTTTTTAATAGGAAGTGACAACTTGTTGGATGGGAGATGGTAAAAGGTTGTGAAGTAAAATAATTGAAGGCTGAAAATTAAACCCTTAAAATTATAATGACTTTCAATCTCAGGATAATGAGATGGAGAAAATGTTTATTCTTTTAGCATCTGGTAGGAGATTTCTCTTAGGGAAAGACCAGCCAGTATACTGAAAAATATGGATATCCCCTGCTATCTGAAAGCAGAGCATTCCTATGAAAATTTTCTGAAGCTGAAATGGCTAAAGTGAAGAAGCAGTTGCCTAAGGACACCTCTTACTAACAGAAGCACAGAATAACTCGAGATAAAGCACAGATGCTCACAGACACGGGTCAGAGCTACGCTGGCTTGATGCTGAGGTGCTGAATGTATTGCTGCAGAAGGGGCTTGGTGGGGCTGCTCTATCTGCTCAGAGTATGCACGGCCTCTGTAACGCTCCGTGCAAAACAAGCACTGAATGTTAAGTCCATTTTTCTCCTTTTTTCGTAAAAGTGAAATTCCTCTTTGACCTTCGGTTAGCAAACACAGGTAGTAATATAGGTCTTTCGTAAACACAAAGTGGCGTGAAGCAAACTTTTGAAAAGCGGGGTATACCTGTATATAGAAAAAAAACGCCCCCTTGACATAGTTGAGTTCCTAAGGGATGTAGGTAGTACTGATGATGTGTCTTCCAATGCAGGGAAAACTTTTGCTTTATAGGAGGCAAGGGGAAAAAAGGGAGAGAGAAGAGGAGAGAAAGACAGGAATTCTGTGATTCTTTGGGCTGAGTGACGTGACCCTTACAATGAAACAATGAATTCCAGTCCAGTGCTGGGTGTGACTGAGTTTCTTTTAGAAAATGATAAAGGGGCTTGGGGCTTAGTTCTGCTTTTAGGTTTATGTGGGACCAGTTCAGAAGCAGGAGATGAAAATAGAATTGTTAGCTCTTGAGCATTTTGCTAAAATCTTGGAGAACACTTTGGACAGTCCAAGCGATGGAATTTAGCAGACTTGAGGAAATTCATCCTAGGAAAAAAAATGTTCTGACTGGCCGCAGGCTTGTACATCAGGCAAACATGTGGCTTTCCTCCTTGCGTTACCATAGTAACGTTTGGGAATTTTGTTGTTGTGGTTAGTAGATCACATCTCCACCAAATGTTGAGAGTCATCTGCCAAATAATGATGCAGATTTTTAAATAATCAGGAGTTCACTAGGCAGTATGCATTATGGGGATTTAGGTAAAACAAGGACATCTTCAAGGGTGCTGGAAAGAGAGTCCTTCCAAAAACCCCCTTCTTCAGGGAATGCTTTAGCATTATATGTCATTTGTTAAGCCCTCCTGAGCTTGCCAGTTTCCCTTATTTGCTTTGTTCAACAAGCCTTGTTAGTGTCTGGTCTCCACCTGGGGTCTGAGGTGGACCTACCAGGACATTAGCATCCCATGAGCCACTAATCACATTTGAGAATGAAAGAATTCAAAGCATTCAAAATCACACACACACACACACACACACACACACACACACACACAAAAGCAGATGTAATTGAGAGCCAAGTTCCAAATATTTTAAGAGGGTTGAGCATCAGGCTAGGTAAATTGCCCAAAGTTCTAGCCAGGGCTGGAAAAAGACAATGAAAAAGGTCAAAAAACATACACAAATGGAAAATAGTCTTAGGCTGTGTAATGGATTAGGTTGTGTGCCCTGCCAAAAGATATTTCAAGTCTTAAAACTTAGAACCTCAGAACGGAAACTTATTTGAAAATAGGGTCCTTGGAGATGTAATTACATTAAGATGAGGTCATACTGGTTTACGGTGGGCCGTAGATCCAACGACTGGTGTCCTTAGGAGGAGTGGAGAACTCATACACAAAGGGACAAACACAGACAAGAAGGCCTTGAGAAAACGTTGGCAGAGACTGTAGTGATGCAGCCACAAGCCAAGAAAAGCCTGGATCCACTAGGAGCTGCAGGAGAAAAAGATAAGATTCTTCCCTAGAAACTTCAGAGGAAACAGTGCAGCCAAAACCTTGATTTCAGATGTCTAGTCTCCAAAAATGTGTTGATAAATTCTTTTCAGACACCCAGCTTGGGGTCCATTGTTACAGCAGCCCTAGGAATCTAATACAGGCTGGAGTGTAATTTGGGGACCATATAGGCAAATACATCTAGAGGTGGGCAGGTTATATTTACTCATTTGTATTTCACTGACTGCCTAGTTCAGATGTCCTGTAATACTCACTACGCTGCATTGTAAACGTTCATTCATATGAACCCTGGACACTCTACTCCCTGATAACAGAGATCATGTCTGTCTTGCTCAAGGTGTATCCCCAGCAGCAAGCCCAGTGCCTGCCACGTAGTAGTTATTCAATAAATCTGTTCCGTTGAATCAGTAGGTTGACCTGGGTCACAGGCAGATGGGGAGGACAGAAGACAGTGTGCACAAAGAACTTCTTGATGCTGAGGTTCCCTGCCATCAAAGCAGAAATTTGCTTCTTAGAATACCTGGCCTCTTGCATTGGCTCCGTCTTCCTCACTTCTGTTCCGCCTGCATTTGGATGTGGTGATATGCCTGTGGAAATAGAGAAAAATCTGTACCCTGTCTATGTGCGCACAACATCACTATCAGTATCTCAAACGATCTCTACACTTGTGTATGCCAGGGGTTACCACATATGCACTGGCATCCTCCAGGATCTGTAACCTGGATGCTGCCAGCTGTTGGGATTCATCATCTTGACTATTCACAGGCCTCTCCCTTTCAAAAGCCAGTGGGTCTGATAGATGAGATGGCCTCTCCCAGGGGCTCTGCCTGCCCGCGATGCAATTTTGCAAGTCTAGCAAAAACTGGCTTTCATTTCAAGCACGTCTCAAGGATGGAGACTTTTAGAGGGGAAAACAAATTTGCCAAGGACGAAAGACTCCAAAACTCCAGGTAATAAATTGGGTCTGAAATAAGTTTTATCTTCCTCCTTTCCAACACTCTGCCCTAGTCTAACACCATTAGGTCTGTGCCTAGTTAGTGGCATTGAGCAACAAACACAGCTCACAGTATATAAAGTATAGGTGTTTCTTTTGGTATTTTAGTATCTTCTTCATGGTTGCTACAGAAAATTGAGGTTTAATCAATCAATAGTTTCATCAGATAAGGAAAGGCTGTATCCAAAATAAATCAGGAATACAGGTGCTCGCCACACAGGAATTGTGTGCTGATGATGGCTGAGCTGTGCCCTTGTACAGACATGATAAAGCATAGCTGCTTCCTCAGCCTAGCGATGGATCTTGACTCTTCCATCCAGGACTAGCATTATCCCAGCAGGAAAGACTCCTCAAAACTCCTCAAGGTTACCTTGATATACCCACTTAATAAGAAAAATAAAATACTGTCATAGTGACTTAGCCTTTATTAACCAATCACAAATGATTTTTCACACTGCAAAAAAAAATCAAGTCATAATTTTATTTAGATACCACTGGAAGATTATCAGAGGCCTCCCATGTATTTCTTTCTAGACTTATAAATACAAAAAGGCAAAACACAGTAATAAATACATACATGTGTATCACACACAAATATGTGTGGGTGAATAATGCTTTTCTCACAGCTAATCAGCATCTTTATTTCAAAGCAAGATTCCTTCTAATAAAGCAAATTCACATATTATGCTCAGAATTAACATTTCTTCATTCAGGATTATATTGAATCTTAAATGAGTTAATGTGTTTGTGAACACTTAGAAGGGTGTCTGGTTCGATAAAGGCCATTCATTATCATGCTTGCTTGTATCGCTGTTTATTCAACTAACTATAAGTGTTTATTGATCATCTATATTTCAACACAAGGAATAAGAAAGTGGCCATCTCTGCTCTTTTGGAGTTTAAAAGCTAGAGGAAAGACAAACAGTAAATAGCATCACGCTCTTTAATCCAGAAGAGGTGTAGTCCCACTGTGAGAAGAGATTTATATTGATAGTCAATATAATTATGCCCCAGGCCTCCTTCTGAACTATAGGTGCCTTAACAAAGGCAGACTAATATTGACTTGAATGTAGCTGTCAAGGCCCCCTTTCCATAGAGGAGTCATAGGCCAGTTAAACTGTACTGGCTTCCTGCCATTCTTGGACACCTCTCTACCCTTCTCCCTTGCCAGCATCTACTACTTTGTTGACAGCTCTCTATAATTCAACTGACCTTTCGTCAAGCAGTGCACAGTCTTTCTCTCCCTTCTCATATCTAGTATCATTATAAGAAACGTCATCATCTATGTTGATAATTCATCCATTCTCTTATTTTAACGTTCCTTCACCTCCCTGACTTCCCCAGACATCACACTCCACTCCTTTTCAGGAACAGTTTCTAATATAGTCAATTGGAACCGCTCCATTCCTGAAACGAGTTTTCCCATATATAAAATTTTAAATGTCAGCCTTTCAGGCTTTGACCATGACTCCCTCTCCTCTGAGATTTCTCTCTGCCCTATTTCCACCAGGCCTGCTCTTTGGCTTTACTTGTCCTCTAAATCTCTGAAACTTAACTTTGCTCCAGAAAAATTCTTGTCCTTCTCTTAGTTTTCCTTCAGCCCCTATTGAGCCTAGGTCCCTTGACACATCTCCAGTGAATTCTTAATGTCCTTGGGCTACATTTCCACGTTTATGCCCAGGCATCCCACCAGAAGAAGGTGCCACAGCCCCATGAAATGGTACCATTACACTTTATACTCTTTAATGATATCAGCTAATCACACAGTGCCACATGGGGGTTCCTTTGTGTATTTCTGGACGTGTTCTCACCACCCTTCCTGAACTACATGCTGTGTCCCCCCGCTCCAAATCCATATGTTGAAACCCCAACCTTCAATGTGATGGTATTTGGAGGTTGGGACTTTGGGAAGTAATTAGGCTTCGATGAAGTCATTAGAGCCAGGGACCGGGGTGGGTAATGATGGGATTAGTGTCTTTATGAGAAGAGGAAGGGACCAAAGCTCTATCTCTCTGCCATGTGAGGAGACAGCAAGAAGATGGCTGTCTGCAAGCCAGGCACATGTCTCCCAGCAGCTTAATCTCAGACTTTCCAGCCTCCAGAACTGTGAGAAATGGTTTTCTGTAAGCCACCCAGTTTATGCAATTTTATTATAGCAGCTCAAACTAACTAAGACATCCCTTAACCAGTCTTTCCAACTTTTCTCCATCAGAATATTTTTGCTTTGCTCTTTAAGGACAGAATTCGGTCCAGGTCATCTGATTCATCTCATTCTTTGTTGCCACATGAGGATTCAGAATATTCTTTATATGCTAATTACAGCAGAATCTGTTTTCTAGACCATATTTTTCTTCCTTTTGTGTATTTCCACCAGTATATCCTGAACTGGACCTCCAACATTCAATCTGTTATTACCTTGTAACCTTATTTTTTCTTCTGTGATCTTTCTACTACACTGTGTGACCAACCTCTGGATGCCGTTAGATTCTAGATGCTGAAGAACCAGAATGACTAGTGGAAACTTTTGTCTGATATATCCAGAGAGCCTTATACAGAGATATTACCATTTAAGAGGCAAATGAAAATCTTTTGACTCAAAACTTCTCATTCTCTCTATTAAGCAACTAGGGGATGATAAACACATCCTATACCAACATTTGGATTGTAATGAAATAACCATTATCCAGCAGCCAATACTTGTTTTAAGATCAGGATGCTACATTCTAGCTATAAAGCAGACTTCTGCCGTTAGTGACTGTATGACTTTGTACAACTTATTTCTACTTTTTCCAAACTTTCAGTCATGTGGAAATTAAGGGAACTGGACTAGGTGATCCCTGAAGTTTTATTTCAACATAAAAGTCATTTAAAATGAGTATTTCTATCATTTTAGATATTTAGTAGAGTGTTTGATGTGGGTTCCGCACTGTAGTAAGTCCTGTGGAAAAGTGGAGAAAATATAAAATATTGAGAATCTTAGACCCTGCTTTGGGGATAGAAATACAGTTTATTGGAGCACAAGTGAGGAAATCTGCATTCTAGTTCTAACTCTGGCACTAACCTTTTGAATATCTGAGGGAAAGGTATTCCCTTTTCTCGGTACTGCCTCACTTTTCCCTTATATAAAATATGGATAATGAACAGTTGGTCTTTAAGTTCTATGATGCTATTGTCTAGCTACAAGAAAAAGATCAAGACATCAGTTACTTCAAGAAGGAAACACAGTGGCACAAAATCTTCTCCCACAATCACTGAGCTGCTTCTAGTGTGGATACAGATGTGGAGTCATTTACTCCGCCACCTCTTTTAGAATGCTTGCTTGAGCTCTGTGGGAACCGAGCCAACACTTCAGTGTTCTTCACTCAATGGCTTGTCAGTTCCCCTTTTAATGGTAACGTTGCACCCTCGATGAAGTGCTAAGGCACTTTTTTCCTTGCAAGATGAAAAGAGGCGGCCACAGACCTGGCACAACTTTGGGCTGCAGACATCCTTCCAAATCCCTCTTCTCTGAGGAGCCAAAGGATTCATTCAGGAAATGGATGACTGCCCGGCACAGAAGTGATCAGGAAGATTATCCCCCCTCACCTTCCTCAAGTTCCCCCATGCTCTTGACGTTTGCATTTTCATAGTTCTCAAAATGTTTATTATCCAGTTTCTCAAACTTTCTTTCAGGAGTAGGGAGCATAAAATTGAAATCTAATTAATGCAATGAATAAAAGCACATCCTCACTTCTGAAAACTTAATAATATTGAGGAATATATGAAAAAATATACTGTTCAAAGATATAGGTGTCTAGGGCTTCCCTGGTGGCACAGTGGTTGAGAGTCCGCCTGCCGATGCAGGGGACACGGGTTCGTGCCCCGGTCTGGGAAGATCCCACATGCCGCGGAGCGGCTGGGCCCGTGAGCCATGGCCGCTGAGCCTGCGCATCCAGAGCCTGTGCTCCGCAACGGGAGAGGCTGCAACAGTGAGAGGCCCATCTATAGAAGAGGGGCTCCACCCTCTGCCTTTGTTTTTTTATGAATTTATTTATTTTATTTATTTATTTTTGGCTGCGTTGGGTCTTCATTGCTGTGCGCGGGCTTTCTCTAGTTGCGGCAAGCGGGGGCTACTCTTCATTCTGGTGTGCGGGCTTCTCACTGCGGTGGCTTCTCTTGTTGCGGAGCACGGGCTGTAGGCACGCGGCCTCAGTAGTTGTGGCATGTGGGCTTCGGTAGTTGCGGCTCGTGTGCTCTAGAGCGCAGGCTCGGTAGTTGTGGCTCGTGGGCTCTAGAGCGCAGACTCAGTAGTCGTGGTGCATGGGCTTAGTTGCTCTGCGGCACGTGGGATCTTCCCAGACCAGGGCTTGAGCCTGTGTCCCCTGCATTGGCAGGTGGATTCTTAACCACTGCACCACCAGGGAAGTCCCACCCTCTGCCTGTAAAACCTCATCACTTTCCTGACATCTGTTCAGTAGCTTCCTGTTGTATTGGGTTTTGGGGCCAGAAAGCTCAGCTTCGAAAGCTTAGATGACCTCACTTCCCTGTCTTTCCTCTTCTTCCTGCCTCTTCACCTCTCTGCCAGCAAGCGCATACATTCTTCCAACAGATCTC